CGAGTCCACCAGTGTCAGCTGTGGCAAAGACCAAGTCGTCAACGTACGAGGATGTAGAACGGCGACAAAGAAGTGTCGGTGCGCAGAAACAGCGACGGGTCGGCAGTAGAGGGAGCAAACCAAGAGCCGCAAGTGTAGTCCTCAGTGTGTCGTGCCACTCACGAGCGTGCCTGGCGGAGACCGTGGACTGGCCGCTGGAGGCTCCACTGGGTGCCACGAGGAAAAGACCCAGTGAAGCCAGGTGGGCGGCGCAGCCAGATCTCCTCGTGCAGGTTGCCTTGAAGGAAAGCTGTGCTGAAGTCAGAGAGTGAAGCTCGTAGTCACGGTGAGCAGCTATGTGCAGCAGTACCCGAAGAGTGGTCATCTTCGGGTGGGAGAGAAGGTATGAAAGTATTCAACTCCGTGCCGCTGACTGAAGCCACGAGCCACGTAACGTGCCTTGAAGACAGGCGGAGAACCCGGAGGCTACTTCACCCTGAAAATCCACATGCCACTGACGATGTTCGCCCCAGGCGGGGGAACCTCGTCAACGTAGGTGCTTGTGGACTTCCAGGAAGCCATCTCTGCGTCCATAGCTGCCTGCCACTGAGAAGAGTAGGGACCCTCTATCGCCTTCGCGTAAGAGCGCGGAGTCGGATGTCAAGTGCATCCGGGTCTCCCTCAGGGGTAAGCAGTACGGACACGAGATGAGGTGAAGCAGCAGCCAGACACTGGAACTCCTCGTGCATGTCCCCAAGGACGTCCGTGCCAAGGGCACACTCACCCCCGACGGACGGAGGACAGATAGACTCAGACTCAGCAACAAGACTGGCGGCGGCGTAGTCTAGGCGACAGCGAGCAGCAAAGTCGACGAGCTCAGCAACTAGGGCAGACGCAGCAGTGGACTCAAAGGAAGGGTCAGTGACAACAGTAGCAAGGAGACGCGTGACTGTAGGACTGGCGGCATGAAGAGAGTCCGACTCCGGGTCAGCAAGAGCAGGAAGAGAATACTCAGGAGGAGAAGGTAAAGGGGCACGCAGAGGAGCAGTGGATGGACGCAGAGACATCTGGTTCGTGCCAGGGACAGGAGGAGGACGCTGACGCGAACCGCGACCACTAGTGCAAGCAGCACGGACAGGTGACGCAGGGCGAGACGCAGGCTCACGACGCAAAGCAAGACCTCCAGTAGGACCAGTGTAGGGAGACGGAGCAGGCAGTGGGGTGGTAGAGCTGCCACCCTTGCGCGTCAGGGCATCACAAAAACCCTATGCCAAGTTTGGTCGAATTTTGATTTCGATTGTCTTCGCGTAAAAAAATCCGTAGCCATTCGGACCGACGGTTGGAGTCATTTGATAGGAGCTCGGAGACACATCTCGCGACAAGGCTTGGCTCGGTTCAAGTTCCAATTTGGCACGCGAGCTTTTCCGGATGACATTCCGACGCAATCCGTTTTGTCGCAAATTCGTGACCAATTTATTCAATACTAAATTCTGTTTTTGTTCATTTTGGATTTTGGGGAATTCAAAATTGCATTTATTATTGCGGTTTACAAGAACCATTATTCAGCATGCTAGCAACAATCAGTCTTAGCACCAGGTCAAATAGCCTACGCATTGGCGGGCCTTGAAAGCGCCCGGTGGGCAAGGACGACATCTCCAAGGTCGCCGTCGTCGATGAGGAACTTGTTCGGAAAGACGAACGCACCCATAGCCGGATCGTGGGGGATCCTCCGCTCCACGACAGCAAAATGGATCATCTGTTTGACCTTTTCGCACCACTCCTGGTAGTCTGGCCTGTTCTGCTCTGGCTGGCTACTGATTCGCTTGCGACGCTTATCCTGCAGAAGGGGCCATTCGATCTGCAATGTGGTGTAGTAGGGGTTGGGTGGGTGGTTTATGAGGAGGGTAGGTTACGGGTAAATGAGGCAACTGAAAGCGGTGATGCAGTCGTCACTATCTACGTAACTGCAAAGGCCTAATCGACCAGGGATTAGGGTTGTAGTATAGGCAAGGGGTTAAGGGATGAGGCATGGGGTAAAAACACATATCTACATCCTTACCGAGAAACAGGCCCCATGCCACCATTGCGGCTCTTGAACTTGGTGTAACACCGCCCCGCCCCTCTTGAAGGAGATCTTGAACGCATAAGCGACAAGGGGTTTGCTGAGAGCGTCCCGGTGGCCTTGTCAAAGTGCCAGTTGAGGGCCCACTGTTATGTTTTTTTGGCAGGGAGGGTATGGGTTTGGAAAGGGTTTTGTAGAGAAATCAAGTGGGGGGATGAGTGTCAGGGTGAGCCACATCGCACGGTGATATGTAGCTGACACTGCATATGGTAGGGGCATATTGTTTTTCGAGTTGCACATACCATCTCTGTACTTTCGGCTAGGAGTTGAACGTCTCGAACCAGGTCTTGGGTGTAGCTCAGTGGGGCAGGCTATCCACGAGATGGCTGTAATCAGCAAGGCCCATGCCGGTGTAATGTTGCTGGCCTGAGGGTGGAGTTGATAGTTGACCTTGTTGAGGGACAGCTGTGGTTGAAGGACTCCCATGTTGACTTGTCATTGTGCAACCACAGCAGCTTCATTGCCTCGAGCCCTTCTGCAGACAAGTGACAGAGAACGCTTCGAACACTTCCTCCGGTGGCAGGGTAGTACTGTATTTTCCTCCGGGGTTTCAGAAATCATGAGCTGAGAGCACACTAAGTAGGCTTTGTTCTGCGCAGTGGTGTAAGGTATACAACACGACATGAGAGAGAGAAACCAGCAGTTATGTGGGTGGCCAGCGTGACCATGGGATTGTGACTAGCAACACTGTGTGAACTTCCACGTCACACCCCTGCGCCATCCGACACGTCCACCAACAACCCGGCCCATTCTGCCACGTCACACCTCCCTACCACAAGCCACGTCACCCCCCACCCACCTGACACACGCCTCGCTTTGTCATGCGCAGTTGTCACGTGTACCTTTTCTAATCGCCACGTCATCCCCAACCCTCACATGCTGGCCACGTCACACCCACCTGCATCCGCCACGTCATCCCCAACCCTCACCTTCCGCCACTTCAGGACCCTCCTGCATCCGCCACGTCCACCAACCAGCCCCACGTGCCACATCACAACCCTCCTGCATCCGCCACGTCCAACCAACAACCAGCCCCACGTGCACGTCACACACCCTCCCATCCCATGCCACTTCACCCCCCACCCACCTGACACGCGTCGCCTCGTCAGTGGCCGCTCCTGTGTACCATTCCAACAACCGCCACGTCAGCCCCAACCCTCAACATGCTGCCACGTCACACCCTTTGCATCCGCCAACAACCCGCCCTAACTTGCCACGTCACACCCCCACCAGAGCGACGTCACCCCCCACCACCTGAAACGCCTCGCTTCGTCATGCGCCGCTCCACAGTGTACCCTTGTAGGGTGCCACGTCATCCCCAACCCTCACCTTCCCCCACGTCACACCCACCTGCATCCGCCACGTCATCCCCACCCTCACCTTCCGCCACGTCACACCCTCCTGCATCCGCCACGTCCACCAACCAGCCCCACGTGCCACGTCACACCCTCCTGCATCCGCCACGTCTACCAACAACCAGCCCCACGTGCCACGTCACAACCCTCCCATCCCATGCCACGTCACCCCCCCACCCACCTGACACGCGTCGCCTCGTCAGTGGCCGCTCCTGTGTACCATTCCAAACCGCCACGTCAGGCCCAACCCTCACATGCCGCCACGCCACAACCCTTTTGCATCCGCCAACAACCCGCCCCTACTTGCCACGTCACACCCCCACCAAGAGCGACGTCACCCCCCACCCACCTGAAACGCCTCGCTTTGTCATGCGCCGCTCACGTGTACCCTTGTAGGGTGCCACGTCATCCCCAAACCCTCACCTTCCCCCACGTCACACCCACCTGCATCCGCCACGTCTTCCCCAACCCTCACCTTCCGCCACGTCACACCCTCCTGCATCCGCCACGTCCACCAACAACCAGCCCCACGTGCCACGTCACACACCTCCTGCATCCGCCACGTCCACCAACAACCAGCCCCACGTGCCACGTCACACCCTCCCACCCCATGCCACGTCACCCCCCACCCACCTCTCACGCGTCGCCTCGTTACGCGCGGGCTCCTGTGTACCATTCCAAACCACCACGACAGCCCCAACCCTCCCATTCTGCCACGCCACACCCTTTGCATCTGCCAACAACCCGCCCTACTTGCCACGTCACACCCCCCACCAAGAGCCACGTCACACCCCCCACCAAGAGCCACGTCACCCCCCCACCCACCTGAAACGCCTCGCTCCGTCATGCGGCACTCCCTTGCACCCTTTCACACCGCCACGTCATATCCCAACCCTCACCTTTTGCCATGTCACACGCACTTGCATCCGCCACGTTCACCAACAACCCGCCCCACTTGCCACGTCACACCCACCCACCCCATGCCACGTCACCCCCCACCCACCTGATACGCGTCGCCTCGTCACGCGCCGCTCCCCGTGTTCCCTTCGAACCCGCTACGTCAGCCCCAACCCCGACTTGTTGCCACGTCAACCCCAACCCGCCCCATTTGGCCCGCCACATACCGGGAATGGGTTTGTCTCCTGCAACACTAGCACTCGTGCCTTGTCCACGGCGCTCATCGGCGGCGGGGTACCAGCCATAGGCAGGGCTGCCGACCCGCCGGCATAGCTGGCAGGTACTCCACGACGCAGGCCGAGCTGTGCAAACATGGCGTACATCTCAGACCGCAGCGCCTGGAACTCCTCCCGTGTAACAAACTGCTCGTGCTCCTCACTTTCACCTAGGGCACCCATGAGCGGAGGAAAGGGTGTGAAGAATCCCCCCTCTGGCCAAGGGTATCAACGTCTTCTGCAGCAGTCCCGTGTGCCCTCACACTATCACGCTGGCGGGAAAAGGGGAGCTCAGGGAAGGGATTGGCATAAGTGCCTGCCTGATGCCCGCGCGAAGGACCGGCGATGGGGGGAGACCGCCCTGCCCCGGACAGGAGAAGCGTGGAGTTGCCGAAATGGGTACGAGGGAGGCGAGTGAGGACTGCGTGACGGGGGACGGGTGGAGGGGATTCGGATTCCTCTCCTCTTGGCGCGCCGGGTGCCGTCGCAGCGACTTTGCTGGGGCCGGCCCATGGCGTGTAGAACCTTGGTGCGCCGGACGAGAGCGGTGTAACACTCGCTATTCCGGCAGCCTTCGTTAGATGCATTCGTTGCACGCTAAGGGCGGCCCAATGCCTGTAACGCGAGGGGCTGAGATGTAGAGGGAGTGGGAAAATAAAAATTGGAGTCGATCGGTTTCAAGGCGGGGCCAGAAATGCATGCATATTCAGAAAGGTTTGAATCTAGATCGGGTTTCGGGTTGTACTGGTTTGAGACAAGAGGGTTTACCTTGCTTGGCAGATTCGTCAACCTTCTCCTTCCCTGCAGGAGAGAAACAATGTGAATAAAGGGTGTTATTTGGGACGGTTTAGCAGATTGTTTAACACGTCACGCCAGTTGTATTGGACACAATGCTCACCTTTCTGTTTGTCCCTTCGGTTTTGGGGCAGCCTGCGCCTTCTCGTTGCCACCTTTCCGCGGGGTGCTTCGGCGCACGCTGCGACGTTTACCGGCAGGTTCCTTCTTGCCGGTACCCACTCGAACCCCTTTGGCGCGGCCACCCTTTCCTCCTCCATCCCCTTTTGCACCCTGGCTCCCTTGCTTTTACCAACCCCTTCACTTTCGACCTTCACCTTACGCGCCTTCGGTTTGCCCGCTGCTTCGCCGCGCGCAGCGTCACCTGCCCCGCGTTTTCGGGAAGGGCGAGTCCGGCCCCCCTCCTTCCCTGTCCCACTCACCCGACCGCCACGCCCGCCCCGTCTCTTCCCTGGCGCCACATCCTCCTCCTCCTCCTCCTCCTCCTCCTCCTCCTCCTCCTCCTCCTCCTCCTCCTCCTCCTTCTCTGATGCCTCCTCCTCCTCCTCCTCCTCCTCCTCCTCCTCCTCCTCCTCCTCCTCCTCCTCCTCCTCCTCCTCCTCCTCGTCACCCTGCTCCTCCTCCTCATCCCCCTCCTCCTCCTCCTCCTCCTCCTCCTCCTCCTCCTCCTCCTCCTCCTCCTCCTCCTCCTCTTCGTCCTCCCCGCCATCATTCTCATCTTTAGCATCCTCCCCAACATCCGCGTCTTGCTCCTCCGCTTCCTCTTCATCCTCCTCTCCCTCCGCATCCTCCTCCTCATCCTCCTCCTCCTCCGTATCACCGGGGTCTTCATCGCCCCGTTTCGGCCTCGTTCCTGTCGCTGCTTTCTTGCCTCTCCTTCCGCCAGATGCTTTTCTTGCTGCGGGGCGGCCCTTCTGGCGCAATGCTTGACCCGCCCGCCTTGCCACTAGCTTCCTTGGCGCCTCGCGGTGTGTCAACTTCCGCGCCTCCGGCGTTGTCAGCACTACCTGTCGTCTGGCGCCTCTTCGCCCGCGTGGTGAGGTCCCCGGGCACGGCGGTGTCATCATCCTCCTCCCCATCGCTCTTCCTTTGCCTACGCCTTCCCCGTCCACCAGAAGGAGGAGAGCCACCGACCAGCCCCACCGACTCGTGCTGTGCCACCTTGTCCTTATCCAGCACGGCTGCAGAAACTTCGACCACGCTCGGCTGGAGCAGCGTCAGATGGTGTTGCGTTGCCGCCTCCTCGGACTCCTTGGTTGCGGCATGCTCGGCACGAGGATCGCCTCCGTGATTTCCCCCTGTCGCCGAACCCTCCATCTCCGCCGACGGGAGTGCAAGACTCGCGCTCCCTCGCCCCGGATCTTCTTTGCCGCCAGTGGTGCCGTCTTTACTCGGACCGGGCTCGGTTCCAGCAGAGGCACCATCCGCAGCTTTGTTCACTGTAGAAACACGCTTGCGTGGCGTTGGTTTAGGCCCCTTGTCTGCCGCTTTCTTGCCGGCCTCCTGTTGACCGCGCGCGACCTTTTTTGCCGCCGCTTTTTTCCGCCCAATGCCACGAGCGACGGACGCATTGTTTTTTTTAGCGCCGCCACCACTCTCCCTATCGATTTGTTTAGACGTCCCCCTTGTCGCGCGGCGGCCGGCCTGTTCCTCCTCCATTGCTTGGTTACGTGTTGCACGTGTCATGGTAATCGTAGGAAGAGCAAAGTTGCAAATCGCGCGGAAGGGTTGAGCCGGTTTCGAAAGGGTTTTGCTACTGAATCCCACGAAGGCATAATCGGCCGTCTATCACTGTTATGTGTTTACGAAAACAGCCGCTTCAACTAAGTCTGAAATAGTAGCCACTATGCTTCGCGCTAAGGCCGATCAGGAGAGGCGTGTGTCAAGGCAACGAGCAGCGTCAAAGTGTTGGCCCAGGGAGTGATGGAAGCAGGTGGGTGGGGCACGAGGGTGGTTGGGGTGAGTTGCGAGACTAGAGAGAGAAATGTAACCCTATCAGGCTACATTGGACGGTGTACGTGTAGCCACCCTAGCATAAACCCACCTTCCGCTCGATCTCAGCCGCCCAATGGCTGAAGTACCTCTTGGCTGATGACTGTGTTGCGGGGGGAATCGTTTGAGATGCGTCGGCCAATGACGGTTGCCAACACATCAATCACAACAAAGGATAAACCTGGTGTGAAACCTGCAGTGCGAAATTAGTCAAATCCCTGCAAAGTACAGTGTTTTCGGTTGCAAAGTAACAACGCATTTCATCAAACTCTAAGTTGCAACTGGTTTTGTACGGGGTTGGGGTAAGTTAATCGGTGATTCTCACGTCACACACACAACGACCGTCTTGAATTATTACTTAGGAAAGATGTATTGCGCACTTTTAGGCTTTGCCACAATGGTTTAGGGAACCCAGGACGTCATTCTAACACGATTATCAATAATAACAAACGTGAATCCGTTGTGGTATGGTGTTGGATTGTCATCCATTCTTGCGCAGACATTACACAAGGTGCTTAGAAGGAGTGGTATGAAGCGTAGGCCCAACGCACAATCGTAGATGCGTTATCGACAGCCATGTTTAGACTGTGCGACGATGCATCGTTCAGGCCTCCGCGTTGCGCGACTTGGTGAATCCGTTGTGGTATGGTGTTGGATTGTCATCCATTCTTGCGCAGACATTACACAAGGTGCTTAGAAGGAGTGGTATGAAGCGCAGGCCCAACGCACAAGCGTAGATGCGTTATCGACAGCCATGTTTAGACTGTGCGACGATGCATCGTTCAGGCCTCCACGTTGCGCGACTTGGTGAATCCGTTGTGGTATGGTGTTGGATTGTCATCCATTCTTGCACAGACATTACACAAGGTGCTTAGAAGGAGTGGTATGAAGCACAGGCCCAACGCACAAGCGTAGATGCGTTATCGACATTCATGTTTAGACTGTGTGACGATGCATCGTTCAAGCCTCCGCGTTGCGCGACTTGGTGAATCCGTTGTGGTATGGTGTTGGATTGTCATCCATTCTTGCACAGACATTACACAAGGTGCTTAGAAGGAGTGGTATGAAGCACAGGCCCAACGCACAAGCGTAGATGCGTTATCGACAGCCATCCATTCTTGGATATTCGTTCTTCACGGTGCGGCACGATATATGTATTTGCTCCAAGCACCAATCATACGTTACGGCATGGAGTTACCGGGTAGTTCCCGTATCGTTATCGAGTAAGGATTGTTCAAGAACAGTCCCAAGGATATGAATGTTTACTATTTATGAATGATACGAGTTTCTGGTTAAGTTGTAACTGTACATATGCATTTCCAGGTTTGTTTGACGCCTCTGTAGCTCACCTACGTAATTCCGATTTTGAGGCTATATCGATTCGCGACACAATCAGAGATCCAAACGGATCTCTTCCCGCTCTTCCTCATCCTCCTCGACTCTCACGCACAGTTCATAAACACTTGTTCTAGACTCAATAGGCACGTCCTTCTCGCCTTGCTTGCGAATCACACACACGACCATGAGACTTAAGATCCAGTGCATCTCCCCTGGCCACGTCGTGGTCGCTGTAAACGGGGGCGACACGCCTTGTAGGGAAGACGGCCCGTGCTATGGGCGGTCTGTATCGTGCCTGGTAACGACCACGCGGCTCGACAACGTTAGCCAGTCATATACATTAGCGCGTGCGTCAAGTGCCAGTCGTGCAGTGATACAAGCCGCCCACCACAGTGCGCGCATTGGCGATGATCGTGTAGCTGTCACAGACTTCTTGAACGGGGTAGTTAATGCGTTCACAAGCTTCATCACGGGTAGTAGCTTCATAGGCCAGGTCTCGACTCTACAACGGATCCGTAACTAATGGGCTCTTTACCAGGCGTCGTTTGCGAGTTCTGCAACAGATGGTTCCCCAACGCCCAAGTTTATGGCGGTCATAAGTCACGGCGGACCCCTTGCCAAGGACTATCCGCCGTGGCGAGGCCCACGCGATCTGCACCGACCGCCGGTCTTCATGCTTTGCTATTCGTCCACGACATTCTGTCGGACGCTCCAGCCGCTTCCGGTTCACCTACAGCGTCTAACGCATCCAACGCCGTCAGTGTGAGCCGACCTCCACGCGTTCCTGATGCTCACGTTGACGAAACTCCCAACGACGTGAACGAGGGGCCTCCTGAAGATGAACATCAACCACGGCATGGAGCTCCTGCGGCTGAGACGACTGACCATCCTGAGAGCCGGCCCGAAGGGAGTCATGCCGCGCCGCCAACCGTCATCTCCGGACAGAGCAATGCCATGCCCCTCAATCCGCTCGCGTTGAAGCTACTGCATTTCGTCCGGCGCGTGAATGGCGGAATGGGAATGGCCGAGGTTGACATCAACGGCCTGCTTCAGCTAGTCGTAGAGCCCGGCCTTGCGCCTCTTGTGAACTCGGAGCTCCGGAACTGTAAGGATCTGGAGCGGTTCGAGTTGGAGCGCTTGGCAGGGCTCAATCGCGGATGGTCGGTGGCGACCTTCGAGATTGACGGTCATCCACCACAGCGCTTGCTCTTCCAGAACTCAGCCCAGGTAAGCCGACTTTGCATTCAAGGCCGTGAAATGATGATGAGGCACACAGGGTTTGCATGTACTTAGTTATCCTTGTATTAACCGTACACCCACCTTCTCCGCCACGAACCATGCCTCTCCTCTCACCTGCTTTCGCCACCGTACACCAGGCATTCGCTGAAATGTTTGGACATCCCAACAACGCGCCCGGCTTCAAGCTCAAGGCGCGTGTAGATGAGGACCCTGACGCAGGCGGCCGTCGCTATACCACGCCCGAAACAGGAACGTGGTGGAATGATGCTCAGGTAAGGAAAGACCACGTTGCCACCCCAAACCCAATCCTGAGTCATGCATCCATCGCAGCACTGATCTCTCAAGAGCATCTTGAGTGTTAAACCGTGTGTCCGTTGCCGCTTTGTCGTGCACTGCAGGAACACTTCGGTTGGTCCGAAGTTGTGGGGGGGATCATCTTATATTCGGATGTGACGCACATGAGCAACAACGGCCTGAAAAAGGCGTGGCCGCTCATGATGACGCTGGCGAACATCGCCCAGGCCAAGCGATGGGGGAAAGCCGGTCACACACTACTTGCCCTCCTTCCAATCCCCCCATCTGCAATGTCTGCCGTGGAGAAGGTGATGCTCTTCCAGCGTTGCGTCATCACCGTGCTGCAGCCGCTTCTTGATGGCATCGCCAGGTCCGTACTCGGTTTGCATCTTGCTAAGACATCATCTCACCACCTGCATGGTATGCAAACCCTCTCTGTATGTAGCATGGCCCTTTGCCCCTCGTCGTTCCTCCCTAAAAGCCGCAACCTTGAATGCCTGTTGCCACTCACTCCATTCCTTGCAGCGGGTTCCGTCTCAGGGACCCTTTCGGAGATTGGCAAACCGTGCGGCCCCTGCTGTACGCCTGGGTGTGCGACTACCCCGAGAGCGGCAAAATCAGTTGCACACTCTCGCATGGATCGCGGATGCCGTGCAGCATCTGCTATGCTGCAAAGGTGAGGTCACATGCCATCTGCACGCATTCAATTACATTCCCGTTTGTGGCTCGCCTGAGCGAACCCACATAGCTACCACCCTTACCTTTTCTATCCCATCCCTCGGCCCCGTGCTACAACAGGAGCATCTGAGTGCTGTCAAGGCACGGAACACGCCGCGCACGCCTGAACAGCAGCAATGGATCGTTAACGAGGCGGCGGGGACGACAACTAGCCAGGACAACCCGTGCAAGGCCTACTCTACCTACCCTGTTGAGGTGAGTGACCTGTTTCCCCGGCCCATGAGTAGTCTATGCTCTCGCCCGCCCCGTCATGAATTGCCAGATGTGCTCTGCCCCATTGAACTCACCCGACTTGTGGTTTAGATTACCTATCCACTCTCACGTACATCTCTCCTCCATTCCCCACCACATCCCCATTTCCAGTGCATGCTCTGGAAGTGGGATGTCCCAGGGACCGCGTGGGGCAATCCCTACCTCGTGGTGATGCCTGACATCATGCACCAGGCGGACCTAGGCATCATGAGCCACATTGTGGCTGTCGTGCGCAAGATGAAGAAGCGGCGTGTGAAGCAGATGGACAGGTCAGTGTTTTGGGGATTGGATTCGTTGCTCCTGGTCACAATTACTCAAACCATAAGTTCTGTCCTATTACTGACCTGTTTCTGCCCTTTTGGCGCCGCTGAACTGATGTGTATGGGCAGGCGCCTGTCTCTCATTCGCGACCGCACGCGCCTGAATCACATGCGCCTGCCGGAGAGCGCCTACTTCGAGACCGG